ATTAAAAATGCACATTTTTAGTGATTTTATGATTTTGTAACTCCCAATTAATGATATGGGAGTTACATAAAAAATGAAATTATTCAACTACCCTTGGCATTAAATTGTAAGCTAGATAAAAACCTACATGGATTGTGATTGGTTGAAATGGTTTGTAAAGTTAACACAAAAACTTTGGTTAACATTTGATATTACCTCTATATATTGTGTTAACTTTGTTAACCAATCTTATCCACTGATCTTTGAAATTTGTGGCTAAGATCATTCATGACATAAAGTGTAATTAATTGCATACATAGACAAGGTAACATAAGTGAACAATATTTACAACGGGTATTTTGGGAAAAGATTTTAGTTGTCCATTAATGACAATGATATGTTTTGTAACCGCCCATTAATGACAATGAGATATTTGTAACTGCCCAATAATAACAATGTAACTATCCGGGAATTAATGTCGTTATCGAATCAAAACCAACAACAAGATCCCCGACACCAGATTCTTCTACAGTTTTTTTTTGTTAATGGTTCATATGTGAACAAGTATTTGATATTTATGGGAATTGTTCATGTGTGAACAGGGGTGTATATGAAAAGAAGTCGTAAACGACACAAGTGTGCATATATGTCAATCTGTGTTTGTATTTGACACAAGGGTTCATATATGTCAATTTGTGTTCGTAATTGACACAAGGGTTCATATATGTCGAGTTGTGTTAATATGGTTGTACGAATGTTCATATATGTGAATTTGTGTTCATATGGTCAAACATTTTCATCATCTTTCGTATGTTCATTTGTGTCAATATGTGTTCATATATACCAACTGTACATATATGTCAATCTGTGTTCGTAATTGATACAATGGTTCATATATGTCAATTTGTGTTTGTAATTGACACAAGGGTTCACATATGTCGAGTTGTGTATGGTTGTACGAATGTTCATATATGTGAATTTGTGTTCATATGGTCACACATGTTCATCATTTTTCGTATGTTCATTTGGGTCAATATGTGTTCATATTTATACCAACTGTACATATAGGTCAATCTGTTTTCGTAATTGACACAGGTGTTCATATATGTCAATTTGTGTTCGCAATTTACACAATGGTTTATATATGTCAAGTTGTATTTATATGGTTGTACGAATGTTCTCATATGTGAATTTGTGTTCATATGGTCACACATGTTTATCATGTTTCGTATATGTCAATTTGAACGATACCAAAAACTTTACTACCGGATCTCCTCCACCAATCACAAATTCATAAACATTGGAGATAAAAAAATCAATATTAAAAAAATAACAAGATTAATAATAAGTTAACACAAATCATGAGATTTTATAATTTTGTAACTCCCAGTTAATAACATAGGAGTTACATAAAAAAAAAGAAAATTATGTATGTACCATTGTCATTAAACTCTAAGATGGATATGAATCTAATACTAAGATGTATTGTGATTGGTTGAAAATGGTTAACAAAGTTAACACAATACTTTGGGTTAACATTTGAACCAAGATCTCTCTCTCTCTCTCTCTCTATATATATATATATATATATATATATAGAGAGAGAGAGAGAGAGGGGGTATGATATTTTGTTAACCAATTCATTTGTGTTAACTATACAAATTCTCTAGACCAATATGAATCAATCTAGTACCATAGTTCATAGATTCGTATGTAATTAATGATTGAGGCCAAAATAGTAAGGTTATGTTTTGTATTACTTTAATATATTTAAATGGGAGTTACATTACTCCTTGAATTTAGACATTTTGAAATTATCAATGTGTTGTAAGCTATATTGTTTGTGATTGTTTATAAACAAATGCGTTTTGAGAAATAATCAATAGCATTTCAACAGTCAACATTCTTAATCGAACGACTTCGTTGTGTCTATTGTATTGTATAATATAGATGATCAATATGAACATAGTAGCAGTCAACATGAATGAACGTGCACTCAATGTTTAATAATGAACACTATTTACATTGACAACTTGTTCATTGGTAGACACTGTTCACTAGTCACACATACATACACATTCAAGTATGTATTTACTAATGAACATTTTCATATATATATATATATATATATATATATTTATTTATTTATTTATTGCTGAACAATGTTCATAAGCTACTCAAATATAACAATTGTTCTTTAATTCACACCATTCATAAGTTAAACATTACATATTAATATATGAATGAATAATTTAGAGCTTGATGTCAGTTTCAAAATGATGGAGTAATTACCGGAAAAGTAATTAAGGTTAAAAGAAATCTCCTTACTTTTTTCTAAAATTACCCTTTATTCATGATTGTTCACCTATGTTTATTAAACATCATTCTTTAATTTGTTACAAAAATGTCATGATGAATTTTATCCATAGATTACAAAGATTAAAGACTAGGATTGGTTCACAAAGTTAACACCATATACTGGGTTAACAAATGAACTCACTCCTATATATATATATACATACATACATGCATCCATGCATGAATGCATGCATTCGTACGTATGTACGTACGTATGTATGTATGTATGTATGTATGTATGTATGTATGTATGTATGTATGTATGTATGTATGTATGTATGCATGCATGTATGTACGCATGCATGTATGTAGTACATACATACATACATACATACATACATACATACATACATACATACGTACGTACGTACATACGTACATACATACATACATACATACATACATACATACATACATACATACATACATACATACATACATATTGATACGCACTAATTATTTAGTACTTAAACACTCTTTTTTTTCTCTTTTAGATAGGACATTTTCTATTTATATCATAACTTTGATTCACTTTATTCCCTTATTTTCCACTTCTTTATTATGGAGCTAGAATAAATGATTTACCTATCTTTAATATATAGTGGGCTAATATGAACATGTTCTGGACAGATTAAAGTTGTTTGATGTCGCGGGATTGCTGCAGCATGACCTGACTGTGAAGAAAGAGAAGAGAGAGAGAGAACATGGAGCTTATTGACATGACAAGAGCTGACTTTTTGAATGACATGTGTGTATTACCAGCTGTATTATTTTAATTAGCTGAAAAATTGTTGGCTAAGTTTGATACAATTAGACTCTAACTATTTGCTTTAGTTGTACTTTTAGCTACTTTAACTTCTAGATTAGCGTTAAATGTCTATTTTGCCCTTACCTCTATTTTAGTATAAATAGAGGGGTTGGGGTTAGTGTTTTGATCATTCTTTTATCCCTCAATCCTTTCATTCCTTTCCTAATCGATCATCTCACTACTTTTAGTAATTTCTCTCTCTAGAAATAGAAGTAAACTTTTGGTGATTTCTCTTTCAAGCTTTCCTTTGATTGTTGTTTATTTCTCGCTCTTTAAATTCTGTCATTTATTTATTGCACTTTCTTGCAATTTATTTTACGTCATTTATTTATTACGCTTTCCGCTCTTTACATTCCATAATCTATATTCCATCATTTACTTTCCTTTATTTATTTTATGTCTTTACTTATTGCAATTTATATTTCTTACAATTTTCTTTCCATTATGAGTAGCTAAATTTCTTAGCTGGAGTGTAAGACGGAAATGGTGAGTTTTTAAATCAAATAAGGTAGACCCTATTATGTAATAACAATGTTTCATTGTTTCATTTCAAGTTTTATAAAATCAATGACACTTTTTGACGAGTTGATAACTGAAAAGCGTTAAAGTGTCATGGACTCTAAGCTGAGCCATTGATTACACGTCAATTTGGATGATATGGGAAGTAGACTTGAGAAAGTTTCTAACAAAGAAATTTGTTAGCCGTATCTTCTAAATTGTTAATTCTCGACAGCTTGATCACTTTGAAGTGTTAAAGTGGAATGGACTCAGATATGAGTCATTCAGAACACGTCAACTTGAATGATATGGGAATCCACTCGAGAGAGTGATTTTTAACAAAGAGATTTGTTTATCCGTATATTTGAGGACATCATTTGTCACTTTCATTGGTCCGCATACCTCATAGAGATATGGGTTGAAAGATATAATATCAATGCAACGGTGAAGTCCGAGAGGAAAACGTTTAAAATAAATGGTGAAAATAGTTGTTACTAATTGCATGTGGTAGCAATTTGTCAGCATAGTCTTATGTTGTAGCATTTTGACACCATTGATCTACTGGAAATAGTATTTACATCTCACCATAAGTCTTACACCCTGGATTTCTTTTATTCTTTGTTATTTCTTGTTAATCTAGTAGTGTTAACTCTATTCAAGTCAAAGTCTTTCAAATTCGATCCAGATATTGAGAGAATGTTACGCCAAAGAAGAAGGGCTCAAAGTGTATTTTCTGCTCTACTCCCTCCTAATGTGGCGATACCTCCCCTTATTGGCGAAGAAATACCAACTCAAAATCCACCATCCTTTGATCAAATACCACAATTTCAGACTTTTCTGCCAAAATGCACCAGTTTTTCAAAACCCATCAGGATATCCTTTTCAACAAGGGCCACCAAATCATGAAAATGCACATAATGACATGAAATTTAAAAATAATAACCATCCAAAGCTCAAACTCCAATTATAATTAATCTTGCAAATTCTAAAAATGGAAAAATCATGGACTAATTATTCCTGATTTTGAGCAATTGAACTTAGGGATAATTAGACCTTATATGACTGCCCTCCATTTTAAGATTAAACCGATCATGTTCCATATGTTGCGAACAAATGAACAATTTATAGTATTACCATCAAAAGATCCTCACTCACATCTAAAATCTTTCATGGAAATTACTGATGCCTTCTTGATCCCAGGAGTGTCTGACGATGTTATAAGACTTACTTTGTTTCCATTTTTTTAAGGGATCGGGCAAAGTCTTGGTTTAATTCACTACCACTAGGTCTTGTACCATCATGGGGAAATATGGTCGAAAAGTTTTTGCAAAAATATTTTCCACCCACCAGGAACGTTAAGTCTAGAAATGAAATATGTCTTCTTAAGCAAATGAACGATGAAGCTGTTCCTGATGCATGGGAGAGGTTTAAAGAGTTGTTAAGAAAATTCCCTCATCATGGCATTCCTTACTGTATTCAACTTGGGACATTCTACAATGGGTTAAGTCCCATGGTGAAACAGATGCTCGATGCGACTGCAGGAGGGGACTTTACAGCTAGTACCTACAATGGGTTAAATCTGCTTGATGTGAGACAGATTTATGCAAACAATGGACATTGGGCAGGTCCATGTGCCCAACCGCAAAAGAAGATAGTTGGAATTCATGATGTAGATGCATACATTGTATTAACCACACAATTCACTTCCATAGCCAACATGCATAAAAACCTAACTTCTGGCCAAGGATGCAGCCAACTGTTACTACACCTATTCCAACAGTCCTCTCAGTGCACTGTGTTTATTGTGGAGGGGAACATTCTTATGAACTTTGTCATCATAATTCTGAATCTGTCAATTATGTTCATAATAGATCAAATCCCTATTCTAACACATACAATGCCTGTTCGAGATAGCACCCAAATTTTTCTTGGAACAGTCCAAGTTTGAATCCACCCGTTCATAAGCAACAAATAACCTCTAACTTTCAACCTCAACAGCATGCAAAAAGCTCTAACTCTTAAAATCATCATCATCAAAATTTTCAAGCTGCTCAACCATCTGTTCAAAACAAACCACAAGCTGAATCAACATCTTCTTTGGAAGCTATGATAAAAGGCATGGTGACTCAAAATCAATCTCTTTTTAATCAGCAAAGTGCCGCTATAAGAAATCTAGAAAATCAAGTCAGTGAACTTGTGCTCAATCAGACCAATAAAGCCCTTGGTACTTTGCCTACTAACACAAAAGTCTCTAGAGATTTAGGAAAAGAACATGTGAAGGTAGCGACCCTTAAAAGTGGGAAGGAATATAGAGACCATACCAAAAGAAGGTGAACAGGTTGTGTCTAAACCTGAGAATACACCAGTGGTCTCGGTTACTGAAAATCCACCAAAACCATTAGAGAACCAATCTTCGGAGGTCCCTACCTCTATTCCCCCCTAAGTTGGACTATCCTCTGTTATTTTTGGAAGAGGTTTCTAGGAAAAAGTCAATTGAAGATGAGGTTATAGAAGATCCTAAGACCAAAGCTGTGACCCTATCTGAACCTTAAGAAAGTAAGACCAAGGCTCAAGGCATTCGGGACCCATCTTGCTCAACACAGTCCAATAAAATTGTCATAAAACCAGTTCCCCCTTATGTGCCTTTTCCCCAAAATTTAAGGAATCACAAGGAAGAACTACAATTTAAGAAATTTTTGGAAGTGTTTAAAACATTGCATATCAACATACCTCTTGTAGAAGCATTTGAGCAAATGCCCAGTTATGCCAAGTTCCTCAAAGACATCTTAAGTAAGAAGAAAAAGTTGATCGTATATGAAACTGTAGCTCTTACTAAAGGATGTAGTGCGCTTCTGACTAACAGGATACCTCCTAAGCTTAAAGACCCGAGAAGTTTCACTATTCCCTGTTCTATAGGTGGAAAGAAGATTGGAAAAACTTTATGTGATTTAGGTGCTAGTATTAACCTGTTGCCCTTGTCTGTTTTCAATACCTTAGGCATATGAGAGGCTAGAGCCACCACTATCACACTGCAATTAGCCAACAAAACCATTGCCTATCTAAAAGGTAAGATTGAAAATGTCTTATTTCAAGTTAACAAGCTCATATTTCCACCTGATTTCATCATTCTAGATTTTGAGGCAGATAAAGATATTCCTATCATTTTAGGAAAACCATTCTTAGAAACCAGTAGAACTTTGATTGATATCCAAAAAGGAGAACTAACTATGAGGCTTCAATACCAGAATGTCACATTCAATGTATTTAACTCCTTAAAGTACCCTGATTACTTGAAAGAGTGCTCAGGCATAACTGAGATAGAGGCAATATGTCATGAGAAAGGAATTAGAAAGACTTGTAAATTAGAGGAGGAGGATAATGCTGAAATAGATGAAGAGATTGTTGAGGAGTTAGATTTGAGAGGGGATGAGAGTATTCCATTTGATGTTATAGCTTTTGAGTTGTTGGAAAACAGTGAGCAAAATAATTTTACCCGTTCCATAATATCACCACTTGACCTGGAGTTGAAGCAACTCCCATCTCATTTGAAGTATGCATTTCTAGGAGAAGAAGGCAATTGCTTGTCATCATATCATCTACCCTAGACTTACATCAAGAAAAGAAGCTTGTAGATATGTTAAAGTTGCAAACAAAAGCCATAGGATGGACCATTGTTGACCTTAAAGGGATTAGTCCTTCTATTTGTCAACATAAGATCATTCTAGATGACAAGAACTTTAAGGGGCTGTTTACCAAATTTTCTATTAAGTCCTGTATGGATAAATTTGTCTGTCTGGATAAATTTGGCTGTCTGGATAAATTTATATTGTTGTTTACTTTTCTATCTGAATCAACAGTCTGAATAACAGAAATGACCAATTTACCCCTGAGGATTAACTATGGGCAGTTTAGTAAACTGTTATTCATTTTTTAAGGCAAATGATATTTCTGAAAAATAAATTATTTAAATATCAAAACATAAATTTATAAATTCATTTATATCATCCAAAATTAAAACATAAATTCATAAAATACTTAAAAATCCAAGTTCAAATACAAGTTCAAACACAAAAATGCAAGTTCAAACATTTTTGACCAAACTATTTGCAATTCCATCTCTCAAAGTAGCCATATATTGAGTGCTATTAGCACCCCATTCGGGAATGTCCAGTTCTTCTTCTCCATTTTCTTCGACTTCTTCTTCTTCTTCGTTGTTAAATATACTATCCTCATTGCACTCCATAAACAACTGGTCTTGAATATTATATTTTCTGATGAAATTATGTATCGTAATACAAGCAATTACCACATTTCTTTGTGTTGTAAATGGAAAGGGAGCCATCTGCTTTAAGATCGGAAACCTCGCTTTCAAGACACCGTAAGCACGTTCAATAACATTTCTGAGTTGGGCATGTGCATGATTAAACCTTTCTTCTTTAGTCAAAGCACGTCGACGTCGAAAATCTGCCAACCAATACCTTGTGTTACGATATGGAGGCAAAAATCCACGAGCATTGGCGTACGCAACATCACAAAGATAATATTTATCTGAAAAACCACTCACATCAATCGTATAATATACAAATAAAAAAACAAATTACAAATTGAGAATGGTTTATACCTTGTGGTGGAAAGGGAAAACCGGATCTTGGGTTAAAAGCAACTTCCCTAAGTATTCTAGAATCATGCTATATCTTCTCATCCAGCCCAAACAAAAGTGAATATCATGTTGAAATCACAAATTCCTAGAACATTTTGATAGCATCGACCGCCTCCTCTTCCCCTGTAAGCAGTTTGATGACTAGCTGGCACAATTGCATGTATAAGGGTACCGTTTAGAGCACCTATTGCACCCTTCATTAACAGAAAAAAGATTAAATACAATATATGTGTGTGTGTGTTTATATAAAACTTTAAAATGTCAATAATAAGTCTTACCGGAAATATTTCTCTCAAACGTCTTTGATGACTAGACGTATTTAAAGTTGTATCAGAAGTTGTTGGCACCACTATTTCTCTTGTGAATTCCATCATACCCAGTAAAACTTCATGGAAACAAACATGAACAGTTCTTGTGGAGCGTTGAAATCTACGTTTAATCACTCTGTAACGCTCGTTATGGCCAATCATCGTCAAAAATATTGCCATTTTCTCTTCTACACTAACATGTCTACTGTCTTTCATCCAATTTCCTTGTCTAAAATGATTGCATAACAGTATATACGCTTCACGTGAGAGGCGCATCAACTCTTGACATTGTGTACTAGGTCCAGTTAATAGCTCTTGGGTGTACGCATATCCGCTCAATGCTGAAGTATTATCAGGCATTCTTTCTATTCTTTTCGAAGCATTTCTTCGCCGTTTTACACACACACACACAAACACACACACATATATATATATATATATATATATATATATATTAGGACTACGATCATCATTTCTTCCTCAAAAGTCAACATATCTATTCAAATAAAAAGGCATTATAAATCCAAACARAACATTATAAATCTAAAAAGAAATGCATAAAATAAYCATGCTTATCATAAATCCAAAACCAACATTTATCATAAATCAATAGCCACATACATATCATAAATCCAAAAAACATCATATGTCCAACAAAAACGTGGCACCAAATTGTCATCCAAAAAAACTCACAAGTTAGCACACAAAAGTTCTAAAAATGTTATACTTCACAAAAGTTCTAAAAATGTGGCACCAATCTTTACTGATATCCTTGCTTTGCCCCAACTGTTCTCACCCATTCTCTTGCAATTTTAGACGGTATTGTCATCCAAGCTTCTCTGTTACGGTTGTCCGTAAGAAGTGAAAAGGCAATACGGTACAACAGATCATCTTTTGCCCAACCAAGCTCGTTCAATTTTTTTAGGCATGACTCATAACTAAAAAGTCCAGGGTTCCTATATTTCTATGTCATAGTATCTAAAAACTTTATAAGCTTTTCATCAAGCTCCGAAGTCGTTGCCATAGTCTTTTTACGCTTTTGTTTCTCAACCGGAGCACGGGATGAAACGGGTGTTGAAGACACAGGAGCTTGATCACTTGAGACATTGATCTCTTCCTCAATGACAACAAAAGGCTTGGTAGTTGGCAAAGGGTCTTTTGACGACGGTCCATGGCCTCCAATACCCGTGGACATACCACCCTTAAATAGTCGCGCACACAGGTCGGGATATGGAAAACTTGTAGTCCTCAATGATTAAAAATACCTATTGGTCTGTGTTAAAGAAACATATATAAATATACAAATAAAATAAAAAAATCAAAATAAAAGAAGATCTAAAGTTAGAAAACGACCTCTATCTCCAACTCCCATTCCTCGGGCGTCAAGTTAAACGTGTTTGTTGAAGGGTCATAAACATTGCCGGTTTTGTTTTTTAATTTCAACCAAGCACCATATTTTCCTTTCAAGTAGTCAAAATGGTTCCACATTTGCTTTTGATCGACCATAAAATTATGTGTGCTTTTCAAAGTATCAGCAACTTTCTTCCACGAAAGTGCCTTCAAGCTAGCACCCTCTTTTCCATTTATCCCAACCTCTAGAATACAACTTTCTAAAAAGGTTTTGACAATGTTGGGATCCTTCCAACTAATCCTAAACCTTTTTTGTTGTTGGGTTTCACCCGTTTGTTCCATACCTATAACGAACATTCGAGCTATGTATTAAACAATTGCTGAATCAACAGCAGCCGCAAACACAAAATGGAGCAGCTATGTATTTTCAGAACAAAAAATGATAACCCAAAAATGATAACCCAACAGCTATGGTAGCAACAAATATTAACAGGTAAGCAAATATTAACAGTCCCCATTGTGTAAAACAATATCCTACAAAAGCAAGGTGAAACCTAAAACATCAGCTATGTATTAACAGGTCTGGTGATTTTTTAAAATTTAACAGGTCTGGATGGTGATTTATAGTAGCAAAATATTAACAGCTATGTATTTACACAGTCCCCATTGTGTAAAACAATATCCTAAAACAACAGTCCCCATTGTGTAAGCAAATACCTTAAGGAAACAGAAACATTAACAGGTCTGGATGGTGATTTACAACAGCAAAATATTAGCAGCTATGTATTTACACAGTCCCCATTAACAGCAAAATATTAACAGCTATGTATTAACACAGCAAATACTTTAGGGAAACAGCAAACACTTTAGGGAAACAGCAAATACCTTAACGAAATACCTTAAGCCAACAGCTATGGTAAGTAAACAACAATTTACAGCAGTAAACAGTGATTTACAGCAACAAAACAATGATTTACAGCAGCAATATATTAAGCAAACAGCAAATACGTTAAGGAAACATAAAAAATTAACCCTAAAAATACCTTAATCGATTGAGAGCAACAACCGTCAACCAATGGAGAATAGACCAACAGTCCCTTAATCGATCGAGAGGATAGAGACGAGAGCAACAGTCCCTTAATTGATCGAGAGGATGGAGAAGAGAGCAACAGTCCCTTAATCGATTGAGAGGATGGAGAAGAGAGCAACAATAATCGATCGAGAGCAACAGTCTTGCGTTGAGAGAGGCGCGATAACAGGGTATTGGATCGATAGAGAAGAGATGTTGAGAGAGGCGTGACTATTGTGTAAGGGTAGGGCGTGTCTTTTACCTTGGCTTAACCTGGACAACGTAGGTTTCTCATCTGGGCGAATCAACCCAATGTAAACAGTCATCTTTGTCTGTCCGAATAAGCTGATTTATGCACTGAGCTCGTTAAGCCCTTAGTAAACAGGCCCTAAGTCTATAATGTGACAGCAGTCAAATTCGAAATCCCAGGTTAGCTTTTATTAAGGTTATATTAGTATTATTGAAGGTAATTTATAAGATTAGAAGTTAGTTAGGTTAGTTAAGTTGAAAATTTTTAAGAATTTCCGGCAGTTGTTTAGAAAGTCCAGTTCCGACCCGAAATTATCTGAAACATCGTATACAGTACCAAATGCTTTAAATTATACCCAATATATATAAAACACTAAGTTTTAGTGGTTTAAATATAAAACCTTTCTATTTAAATAAATTTAGTCATCGTGGGCTTTTAAAGTGAAAAAAATGTCAAAATTGAGAAATTGGGCTTTTGTGCATTATGGGTTTGGTTTTTATAAAAAAAAAATTATTTTGAGGTTTGGGTTGGGCCATATGGCCGGCCCCTCTCTCCCTCAATTCCCTCTCATTTTCCATTTATAATAACAACAATTATCATTAATCCTCATAACTCTCATTCAAATTCCCAAAACTCCCACACTTTTCTCTCCCTAAAAACTCAAGAGACACTTTGAGTTGTCTCTTTCCTTTCCACCTCATTCCAGCCGATTTCTCCTTCCATCATCAACATTTTGGCAAGTTCTTGAAGCTACAACAATTCTTTCATACAATATCAAGGTAATACCTTCATCCCTTTTACTTTTCTTGAAAGTTTTGGGGAGAAAAACCCATTTTTATGCATTCTTCATCTCCTATTTTATAAGTTTCGAAAATCTTGAGTTTCAAGGTGAGATTATACACCAAAAATATGTAAAAGTGTTTATTTGATGGTGGTAATCCATGACCCAAACGTTATAACTCAAATAGATAGGAAGAAATCATGATTTTATGTGGTTTATTTCATAAAAACTTCATATTTGGTGCTGACAGATTTTGTGTATGTGCACAAAATCGTCCATATCTTTTACATGGCTTGTTCAAATGTTATGAGGTTTCTTTTAAAAGTTTATTTACTGAGTTGGGGTTTCAATGCATTTGGTCTCACTCAAAATCATTGAGTTTTGACCCCCCCAAATGCTCAAAACGTTATATCTATGCATATGAGATTTTCCAGTAGGTAAACCCTACTTTGAATGGTCATAACTTTCTGGATAATCATCCAAAATTGTTTATTTTTCTTCTGGATGTTATTTTAATGAGATACCTTTCAAATGCCACCGATTTCACTCGATATGGTGGTGATTTGAGGTTTTATTTACTTAAAATACGATGAACATGCAATCTGTCCGATTCTGACAGATTTGTATATGTGTGTTCCATCGATCATATCTCTCTCATAACTCAATGAAAAAGGATGATTCTTCTTTTGAGAGTTAAATTTATGGATTGTATCCTACAAGAAAGTGGAATAACATAAAAGTATGGAGTTTTGATCTCCAAACACCTAAAACTCTATAGGTGTGTAAACTGTGARACCACCAGTAGGTAACTTCTAATTTGTATGCTAGTATMTTTTTCCTTGTTTGTCCTTAATGTATGATTATTCTTCTAAAACTTTATTTTATGAGTTAGGATTCATTTGAATCCAGTCTCACTCAAAAATACGATGTTTTGAGACATGAACCGATTTTTATAAGTTAGGTGTGCAATCTGTCAATTGATGGCAGATGTGTGCATGTGACTTTAAGGTGTCATATTTTCCTCTCAACTCATCCAAAATGAGTTATTATTAGTTTAAAAGTTTCTTATAAGTGTTAGGTTTCTAATCCAACTTGAATCTTTGCAGAACACCAAGTAGAACGCTTTTTATGAGTGTTTTACTAACATGGTGCAATCTGCCATTTCAGTTGTGATAAGTTGCATTGCATGAATTATTTGAAGCATCATCTCTTACCCAATCTTCATGAAATTTGGTCATGATGACTATAACTCAGTACTATAAACCATATAAAAAGCTGAGAATTTATCTCATTCTTGAAGTCTCTTTATTTTATCATCTTTTGTAACTTAAGTTTCTGTCCAGAATCTGAAATTCTGGATTTGGATAAATTTTGTAAGATTGATCTTCTATTGGATTATAGCATCATTTCCGGTATAAATTAACTCTTTAATGAGCATATGGACATTATGTATATTTGGACTATGGATAAT